GGTTTGAGTGCAAAATGTGACTCGCCCCCATTAACTGATTTCCTTTTCACCAATCTGTATTTCCAAAAACTGATTATTTCCTACAACAACATGTGATTTGAGTTCCCAGGGCGATTTTCTGCATCACTTGTTTTCTGGTGAGGGGAGTGGGGATGGATCACAACTCATCTGTCCTGGACTAGATTTAATTTTGATGTCAAAGGAATAAATATTTCTCTCACCTGTAATTACAGGGAATTATTTTGTATGGATCCAAGATACACATTGTAGAACAAGTGGAAAAAAAAAAAGTTTTAAAAGTTATGGAATGAAGCCCATCATCCATTGAGTAACTGTGCATCCATCCTCTTTCCAGCCCTTGTTCTATCTGAGAGCTTCCACTGGGAGTCAGGATATCTCAAAAGTAAATTTTATTTTCTAATCACTACAATGGGTTAATTAGAATGAGAAATATCTGCACTTTCTGATTATCTCCAGGCAATCAGAGCATCCTAGTGTCTGTGTCAGTGCTGAGTGCTCAGGATAGTCCAGCTGATGTCAATCATTTACAGGCTGGGTGACACCACCGCCCCGTTGATGTCACCGAGCGTGCCTGGCAGCATTCCTGCCGCTGACGGCACAGTCTGAAGAGTTCAAACAAAGTCGAGGATCGTTTGTTGATAAGGAAAACGCAGCTTCAGTCCCAGTAGAGCCCCCAGAGAAGCCCGACCCTTTGAGCACAGGCTCCTTGTTGGGTTCAACACTACAGAAATCCCCTTGCAGTGAACTTCTGCTGATGTTGTGAGATAACCCCAAGTCCCATGAGCTCCGGGGCTCGAGCTGGGCTTGGGAGATGTAATATTCTGATAAAAAACGGCACTTCCTTTCCAGGCAGATAAGTGCATGTTCTTGCAGCACCACTGGAACCTCGCTGAGCGCCCCAGTGAGGCTCTGTCACCTCTCCTGTCTCACTCCAGCCTTTCAACCGCCCCCCTCACACACCTCAGTGCAGCAGCAATTAACATCCATAAACCACAAATGTGGCTTTTATCTCTTTTTAGCTCACAACCATGAAAGCTCGCTGACATTCATAACACCCCAAAAGTTGTCTGCCTCAACAGCTGAGAGAATTAAGACATAATTAAACATTTGTGCTTGACTGCGACTCCCAGAGGGAAGAACGCGGGTTTTTTAATTTAATTTTTAAATTAAAGATGCATCCACTTTGGCCACCAAAGGTAACAGTGTTGGGGGCACATAAAGAAACAGGGGAAATCAAGCGCTTCCCCCCTGCTCTCATTGCTTGTCTCTTTTCAGACTAGACACAGGAAGCACCATGGGAACGGTGTATTTTTATGGTTGCAGGCGAGCGTACACCATGTGCACCACAGCGTGCAGCTTCCAGTCCCTTGAGGCAAGAAAAGGGGGTTTTGCTTCTTTTTTTTCCTTCTTCCCCATCAAGCTTTTAATTACCATTTTACTATAGCCTGCTGCCTAATTGTTTGCCCGATACTTAGTGCTGATCATCATGGAAGCCTGTTTAACAGGGGGGTGGAATAGGATGAGTTGTTTCCATGGAATGGCATCTCACCTGTGTCAGGACACACATAAAAACACCATGAACTGGTGTGTTTGCACAGGCTCAGAGAAGTACAAATACGGGACTCTTTGCTGGAGAAGTGGAATTTTTTAATACCAAATGAGCCCCAGTGATGGTGTTTCAGCCCTATACATTAATTTTGTGCTTTTATGAATTGCATGTAAGCTTTTAAAAGGATCCCAGTGCCACTTTCAGCATAAAAGGCTCCACCAAACCAAATCAGACTACATCTAGATTCAAGCATGTCCAGCTCCTGCTCAAAGCCTCAGAATAATTTCCCACAACATACTCACAGTGTCACCCATGAATAATGCAAGAGTCACAAAAACATGTAGTTCAAGAAACTAGTCCTACTCACTATGGATGGCTGACAAGACATGGAAAAACCAGACATAACTGTGCCGGAGAAAAACATGTTACAGACATACTAAGGCAGTGGAAAGCAGGTTATCGAAGGCCTGATCTCTCTCCATGAGTCAGTGGCCTCATGTTCCCATGATGGCCTTCAGCAGATGGAACAAACCCCGGGGGCACGGATCATGGTGGGGTTCAGGAGAGAAAAAGGAGAGGTTTCTGTGTCACAGGCTGTCATCAGCGATGAATTGGGAAGGTGCTGGAGTGGAATTGCTCACTCACAAACATGATTAACATTTAGGAGAAACACATAAACATTTTTCATTATTTCTATTTAAATTTGATATAAAATGAGGGGATTAGTGATCATATCAACATGCCAAATAAAGAAATGGAGGGTTGTTTTTTTTTATTAACCAATAGGTTTTTCAGGTGTAGGCAGGACATAATCCTTTTCCCAAAAGCCATCACCAATACTGATGATATTTCTATTCTGTGATCCTGGAGAATATTATATATTCATTTTTGCCAGGGTTAGTGATCCCCAAAAGATAATCCTCCCACCAGGACAGCACTGTCAGAATGTGGTTTCATTTATAGAAGTCAGACAGTAGTTAGTGACCCACAAGGACTTCTCAGGGACTAACAGAGCTGCTGCTATTTTATAGAGGGCATGACATGAAAGCTGAGATTATTTGTGAATTTCAGTCTCCAACAGCAACTGAACTGGTGTTGTTGGGAGGAAATTTAAGTGCACCTACTGATCATTGCACGGCCTGGAGTACTAGCACAGCATGCTTAAATATTTAAGATTTATTGTGCTTCCGGTATCAGAGTGACTGCTGAGAACAGTGTGTGTGTGAAGCACTGAAGCAAACACAATGTATATTTTATTTTGTGCCATTTTACATGGAGATGATGGAGGTACCTTTTTTGTGCATTTGAAGCAGCTTTCTCCTTGCAGTCATGGCTTTATTCCTACAGTGAGCAGCAAGGAATGGGGCACTGTGGTACTGAAGGTTCATACTCGCTTTATAATGAATGAGCTCTAATGGTAAGGGAGGCTGCTGGAGGGGAATGATGTTTTATTGATATTTATAGCATTGTCTTTGAGATGTAAATTTTCAGTGTTTGCATTCCAGAACAAATGGTAAAGAGACTTTTGGAGATCAGCAGCAATATAAAATATGAATGGTAAGAGCAGTACCGACACAATCTCTCAAGTGTCCAAGTTGTTCCTGACTTAAATGTATGGAAAAGAGAGTGAGAAATGGTACTGCAGGCACAGGGCAGAGAGAAAACAGGAAAAGGACTGGCTTCATGCCTGGATGCTGCATACGAGCAGTATGGACATGGTTCCTGGAATGGGAAGGTGGGAAGAAGTTACAGGAACTCCTCTTAGGAGGTCAATACTGAGGTGTTTGGGAAAGAAAGCCTGTCCTGGCTTCCTGCACCCACAGCTCTGTGAGCAGGAGGAGTGAAGGGCTGGGACACTGGGAAAGCACAGGGAGAAGTGAGCTAGTGAGAGTGGAATTGGTGCAAGGGGTGGACAAACAGCTAGAGCATGGCTGTGAATATTTTATGTCCTGTGGGATCTGAGAGATCAGCTGCCTCAGATGTAGAAGATGGCTCAAGTCTTCCATATTCTGTCTATTCTATTAAACTTCTGTATTTAGGGTAAGCAGAGCAGAACTCACCTGCCCAAGGCAGGCTCTATATTGCAGATATCTATAATGAGCTAATCTCAACTGCAGAATCCTGCTAAGCAGCAATTGCTCTGGGGACACAGAGCTTTTCATCTTAATCCAGACACCCAAATTTGGTCAGAAAAACAGTGTGGTATCTCTCCATACATTGTCCAGAAAGGCCAGACAGCAGGAGAGTTCCACATACTGCCACTGTAGATCCTTGAGTGAGATTCATCTCACAACTCCCTAGAGTGTTTTATATTTGCTTGCAATTTGTTAACCAATAAAAACATTTGATCTTTAATAATGCAGAAGTATAACCTCTTCAAAATAATCACATTAATGTTAGAGGGAACAACCAAAGCTACTTGCACAACCAAAACACATTAATTCTTTAGTGATTTACTTGGTTCATATGATACAAACTCTACCTCAAACTCCTACCCAAAGCCACAGCCGTAATTTCCCTTGGTGCTGCTGCACTGCCAAGGACCTGTGGCACAGAAAGGCCCTGTGAAACTGCTAACACCATGTGTGCTGTCCCCAGGACACGTGCCCCACATCCTCTACCAGGCACACTCCTCACTGGCTGTGGCTGAGGCCCCTGGCACAGATGAACACTCTCAGATCACGGGCAGGAACTGTTGTTAATGCTGAGATTTCAGTTTAGGAGCTTCTACAGAAGAATCTCAACATCTATGCCACAGACACATGTAAACCCCTGAGCTCTGAGGGCTGTAAGATTGCCAAGTTTCAGGAGCTGTTATCTTCTCTCTATAAATGAAGAGGGACTGCTGTTTTTTAAAGACAGTACATATTAGTTTACTATTTTAATTGATCCTTATGTTTTTTTCTCAGACCTGTAGGAAAAGTATTTTCTTCAACAATAATCATGGAAAACTGACCAACCTCCCCTTCACCTACAGCTTAAAGTACAGCATTGCTGCTACAGTTTTAAATTTTACAGGTCTGAGTGTTCCAGTTTGAGGTAACTTGTTCTTTCTTTCAAAAAAATGAATAAATTATCAAATTATTTTTTAGGTATGAAAGTACTTAGCAGCACTAATAAAAATTGCAGTCCTAACAGAGGATTTACCTATGCAAACTGCTCTTAGGAACTTGTTACCACACACATTAAAGGCTCACCAGATGTACTTGCTCTTTTTTCTTCCCGTCCATATTTCATAGATCTGGTAAAACTGACCTTGATAAAATGTACGTGAGGTTCCCTAATGGGAAAGTGTTGCTCCTCCTTAGAGTGTGTTGAAATGCTCCAAATTAATTGTATTGCTGTTCCTTTTAAAAACACGCTCTCATAGCATAATCAGATTAATAAAAAGACAAAATGCAACTATTATTTATCAAAACTCCAACTCTACCTCCTGCTTCTTCATTAGACTGATTGTGTTCCTTCATATCTTCCACATTATCCATGCGTTCCATTTCCTCGGATTTGTTCAGATTACAGTCTGTCAAATCCTCTTGTTCTTCTGGGAAAAAAAAAGAAAGACAAAAAATAATTTAACTATTTATTCTCCAAGAATATTTCCAGGGGATTCCCTCAAAGAAAGCACCTGCACACTCCCAGGACTGCTGGCAGTACCTAAAAGTGTTATTTCTACAGATGCACTGGTTGTACTTAGGAGAATGATTTTACTTCCCAAAATCCTACACAAACTCTCACACACACCTGGAACCCATTTTCAGCTTTTGCTCAGATGTAAATATTCTGGAGGTTGTTCCAAATGACAGCAGGAATAAAATCCAGTATATCTAACTCTATCATAAGAGCTCTGACAACTGCTGTGAACAGGGATGGAGCTCCTTGGAGCAAGGCAAAAGAATCACAGCTCCACTTTGTTCTTTTGGGCAAAATATTAATAATTCTGGCCTTAGGCCAGAAAACTGCTCAAGCACATGTAATCAAGGCCTCTTTGAACCCACTTGCACTTCTCTGCTTATTCCACGTGTGTATTTTTAAATATCAACATTATCATGCAGATCAGCATCCCAGAGATCCCAGCCTCTCTCCTCGGAAATAAAGACACATTTTTAACTGTAGTGAAATTTATTCGGGTGAAGTGCTTCAAATAAAGCCTCTTTCATTAACCTCATGATGCAAACTAGCTCCATATTATGTCTGTTTCTGTAAATTTCTGATCAATATTTCATTAAAAAAACAGACAGTATTTTCTTCCAAATATTATGGGAATTTTTAAAATTTGCAGTAATGCTATGAAATTGCTGGTAAATTCTTTAACCTACTGACAGCTGAATGGTAACACCCCCGATCCTTCTCAAGCTAAATATTACATTGCAGCTGAAAAGAGGCTCGACTTTTTGATTAACAAGAAAGTGAAACACTTGTCAAACTCACTCAGGAGGTTTGTTTTCATATTTTCAGAAATGCAGTCAACCAAGAGAATTGTATTATTCTTGCTTCCCTAATCAAAACTTTCAGCTTTCTCCTGAAAATCTTTCCTTTCATTCTATACAGTCTTTTTTTCCCACTTCACTATCATTTTCCAATTTTATATTGAACTTCCACGGTTTTATTTCATCTCTAAAATTTACTATTTTTGCCTTTAATGCCTCTCTTTGTACTTTTGACTCTGTTATTCAGTGTCCTGGGACTCTAAACCAGCTGCAATTAATTTCTTTTTCTCCATTTAAATGTAAAATTGTCAAGAGAGAGTGGAAGAACACAACTGAACAGTACAGTACCTGCAGCTAGGGGCTGTTCCTGAGGGTTACTGAGGTCCATCCTGGGCTGTGAATCTGCGAAAGACAGAAAAGCAGCCTGAGGTGTCTAATATTTAGAACAGTTCACTATACAGTTGTTACAATCTTATAAATTCCTGTTTTCTTGGCTGAAAGTAAAATTGAAAAATAAAACATATCAAAGAAATAAAAACCAAATTAGTAGCATGCTTCACTTCTTTATATCCTGAGCATGTCCCTTCTTTATGTCCAGGCCTGTGCCCAGAAAAGGGATTAAGTATGGTTTTCTAACTTCAAAAATTGTATAACAGAGTACCTTATGCTTTCAGTTTACTCATTGAGTACCCTGCGAGCACAGTGCAGCCGTAGTAACTCTGTAGGAAGTTAATTTCTCTAAAGCACAAAGATATTTTACATTCCTTTTCCAATTCAAAGGGAAACCCCCATTAACTTCACAAGATCTACTTGGTTTTCATGGGAATGCAAGTATAATTCCCGCTGAGAAATTCCAAAAGGGATCAAATGCTAGGAATTTTAAAAATTTTTCGGAGGACTACCCTTGAGGCCTGGTTTCCCAGCGTGCAGGGGCTCAGCAGAGCTCTGAAGCCAACACAAGCTGCAGGTATTCTCATTGCCCACTCCAGTGGCCAAAGTTCAGCTGTTGAGTTGAACTGGAGGCACAGACCTGAGCTGTCCCATTATGTCTTTACTCAAGACCTCCCTTTCTTGAGATTTCATTGTAAGGAGGCTGAATTCTTAACACACTTTACCTGCTTCCTTCCTCCTTTCTTTCTGGTAGCTTTTTCCCATCTCTTTATTTTTTACATGCCATAACATCTTTTATCAGCTTTGAACCTAAAAAATAATTGTTTCTGGACCGGGAAAATTTCTTCCTGGCAGTTACATAACAGAAACACCCAGGCAGCGGGCATGAGGTGTTAACCACGGGTGACATTTACCCCATAATTATCTGTCTTTACCTCCTCTGCATATGGAACTTTTTTGTGGTCTCTGCAACGTTAAAATATAAAGCTCTGGTAACTCTCCAACGAGGCAGACTGGTATCAGAAGAGGTACTCCAAAAAAACTGCATGAATAAAGGGGGGGATAATGTGTGCAACAAAATAAAGGCCTTGCATCATAAAGATAGTCACAGAATTAAATGACAAAAAGTTCAGATATTTACTGAATCAATATTTTGAAATATATAAGAAAGATCAAGGAACTGTATAGTTATAGCCCTTAATTTCTCATTCACATTCTATGATGCCAGAAAAATTGAGGTACAAAGAGGCAAATGGACCCATTTATACAGCAAATAATGATGAGAAAACAACAGTAAATTCCGGGTAAATGAACAAAGTTTTCTCTAATATTGATTTTAACTCTATACCGCAGTAAGTTGTCTAGAGAAGCTGTGGCTGTCCCATCCATGGAAGTCTTCAAAACCAGGCCGGATGGAACTTGGAGCAACCTGAGGGAGTGGAAGGTGTCCCTGCCCATGGCAGGGGGTGGAACTGGATGAGCTTTAATGCTCTTCCAATGCAAAACATTCTGTGATTCCACAAATACAGACACTTAAATTACACAAACCCTGGTAATTGTGCACATAATTAAATTAAATCTCCCTTATTCTGCAACATTTGGTTTTGGTTTTAATCGCATTTAGAATCCCTGCACAGTTGCTCCATTTTGATGATGGGGGTCAAAGCCCCAGGTTGAAACCTCGGCAGCAATCCTGATTCCCCTGAGCTCCCAGGAGGTCATGGAAGAAAGAACCAGAACCCCTGCATGACTGCTTGAATTCCAATGATTCTACATGTATTCCTGGATAACTATATATTTTTAGAAACCACTGGAATCCTCAGGTTTCCCTGGCAGGACAACTTGCTGGAGAACAGCACTGCTCAAACCATGTGAGAACCGAGCAGGACCTGCTCAGACTCCTCAGAAATTCATCTCCTTCCTGCTGAGATGGAATCTGTGAATTTATTCATATTTTGTTGAACACAACAGTTTTCATGCCCATGATGGCTGCTGGGCAGGACAACGCTTTGGAAGAGATAAGAACAACGACACACCGTAGAAGGTTTCTCTTCTTGCTTAAGAAACATCCTGGTCTTTGTCTCACTTTCAAACCTCCAACCTCCCTGCACCAGCATCTGGTTTCTTTACAGCATCAGTCTCCAACAACTTCTTAGAGCCTTAGTGGTCTCTTAATATTTAATATAATAATACTTATTAAAATATTTCTATAATATTCTCTTTAATATTATAATATTTAATATTAACCTTAGGTCTCTTTCCTGACTATCCTAAGCCAGATTCTTCATGGTAACAGGAGAGCATGTGGGTAGATTCTACACCAATAAGGCCATTTTTCTACCAAATTTTCAGAAAAATGCAAGGCAGGAAATCACTTACAGAACACATTCGTCTTCCCAAGATTCAAAGAACTCCACTGGCTGGGGTGCATGGGAAGAGGACGCCTGTCTCTGTGTGCTGCAGCTGAGGCACAATGTGCATTTACAAAGCAGAACTAAAATTCATGTGCTTTCGAAACCAATCCTTGGCCATCCTGTGTTCTATGCCAATAGGCAAAGGGAGCCAAAATATTCAAATAGTTTGCTAAAAAAGTGCTGTGGTATTTTAGTATGCAACACTATTCATACGTTATCCTGGCATTTGACCAGAACAGCCAACCAGAAATTTAACTGTCCTAAAATGGATATTTTTCAGATCACTGATGACCCTGATTACTTTCTGTCCTTAATACAGAATGGGAGGTATATCTTGAATTATTATCATTTCACCTGTTTGTCCCCAAAATGAAACCAGCATGTTGCCTTTTTCCTGCCAGCTGCACTTTTCAGCCCAACAGCACAGGGAAGGGAACGCCTTTGAAAGTCCCATTTGCTCTTAGTCCTTCCATCACAGCATGTGGAGCAGAAACAGCCAGTTTCCTTCTCTGAAGTCAGTGCCTTCACTACGTACACTACTCAACTTCATCCACCCCAACAAGTTTTTCACCTTGAACCCACACTGGGCCATTAAGGAGAGAAATTCTAGCTGATGTCTCCACTGGATATACTTCTCCAGCATCCACAGCATCCATGGCTTTCTGAAGAAGGCACCTGGGCCAAGTAAACTCTGACACTTTGCTGCTCTTAAGCACCATGCAATGTGTGAAACGTCACGGGCATTTTAAGTGCACGTGTCATTTTGGGAAGAAATCCTGACCAGCAGTGTATAACTAAGGAGATTTTTCTCGTATTGGTGCATACAACCTTCTAAACTCAGCAGAATAATTCAGTGATTCAATGATTCAATATCCTGAATAACCCAAGTCAAAAGATCATCACTAAGATCATCAAAATCCGACTCCTGATCTAACCTGTTGATCCCAGCCCAGAACCTGGAGCTGACAGCTCCAGCTGGACAGTTCTTTCAGTAGTTGCAAAACCAAACCAGTCACAGAGAGATACAATCAAATTAACGACAAATTTTGGTTCAAACATCCATTTTTGCCAGGGCCTGTCTGCCGCTCTGTGACCCTACCAAACCTACACACACACTGGGCGTGGAAAATCCAAGTCAGCCATGTTAGCCCTCTGTTCTCAGGGTACCCAGATTTGCCCAAGACCCACAGAAACACTCCTGGAAGTTGCTGTATCCAGGGATAACACATTACAACACTGTTGCACTAACTTCATCCCCAGTGCAACAACCATAGGAATGTTAATGGATCCTCATCATCCTGAAGTACAGACCAAAAAACTGAAGGATCATTTCCATCTTCACTTTGAGCACACAATAAATAAGAACACCAAAGAAAGGACTTCTTAGATAACCTCAGTTATAGTGAAACCCTGTTATTTTCTAATGGCAGACTTTCCACTCCCAAAAAGACAGTGATCCCAACCCGATCAAGAAAATTAAGCTGAGTGTTTAAGTGCTGAAGAGTCCTCAAACCCATTCTTTCAAATCATTAGTTACTTCTCTCAAACAGCAGCTTTCTCGATTCAGATTCAATGAGTGATTATTTACAGGTAAACAGTTAAAAAGCCTTCAGCAAAGGAAAATGCATTTTTAAATAGGTATCTGCAGCTAACTTAACATAATCAACAGCCTCAAGTCATTGAGACAGAGCAGAATCTAAACAGGAGCCCTTAAAGTACTGAGTTGAAGTCAGAATCTCCACCTTTGAAATAAGAAACCAAGTGATGCTTTGCAAAGCTTCTTTGCCAGGATGTTGAAAACACCAGAAATATTGCTTTTCTATGACAGGTAATTATTCCAGAACCCAATATTAACTCCTAGATTGGTTTTTGCTGGCTCTGAATATTATGGGCACACTTCACAGGTGAAAAGAGAGAAGACATCCCTGAATTCGTTAAACCCCAGAATACGAACAACAGATAAAGCGTGCTCTAAACCCCGGCTTTATCACACGCCTCATGGTATCTCTGAAATTAATCAGAGAGGGTGCAAAAAGCCCCGTTCGTTTCCCGTTTAATTGCTACACACGATTCGATTTCTTTTCCAGAGCCTGCGATCTGTTTGCAGCAAGCGCTGAAGAAGCGGCTGAAAGCCCCCGGGGGATAGAGCCTCTGCGGGCCCTGACGGGGCAGAGGGTCCTAGGTAAGAGTGGGGTCGTTTCTCACCTTCCATGCTCTGTTCGCGGGTCCCAGCTCCACCTGCCCGCCCGGGCTCGGGACTGGCAGCGGAGCGCACCGGCCTCGCCTCCCGCCCGTCACCGTGACATCCGGCTCGGCGCTCGGCGGGCGGAGAGC